ATCAAATAAATAAATAAAATCTTAAATAAATAAATAACTCCTTAGTCCAATATTATTATTGACATAGCTATGTTTAAGAGTTTCATCTTGCTATTTGCTTTCTGTTTGATCTCATGTTTTTCATTCCTTTTTGGGGGGTTAATCAACTATTTTTCAAATATTCCATTCTCTATCCTCTATGGTTTTTTTTAGCTTATGTGTGAGAGAGAGACAGAAACAGAGAGAGAGATTGTTCTAGGGAAGATTCAGGTTCACACTTGAACTAACAATTATTCTGCCTGCAGTGGGCCAGGCACTGGGCTAAGCACAACTCTATGTGGTCAGTAGATTTATTTCTTTCAAGTTTCAAAAAAGTTGCTCCCTGGGTTATAGTATTCTAACGAAGTTCATTAAACTGAAAGTTAAACATGTTTCAGTTCAAATCCCAGCTCCACCACTTAAAAGTTGTGTCATCTTGGCCAATGTGTATATATTTTGTGAGCTTTAGTTTCCTTATTTATAAAACAAGAATGGATGTTTTAGTGCTACTTTATAGGATCACTATAGATACCACATGGAGTAATTTCTATAGATGTATTATGAAAACTGTAACTATAAACATGTTAAGATATTTCAGGAATTTTTTTTTAAGATTTTATTTATTTATTTGACAGAGAGAGACACAGCAAAAGAGGGAACACAAGCAGGGGGAGTGGGAGAGGGAGAAGCAGGCTTCCTGCGGAGCAGGGAGCCCGATACGGGGCTCGATCCCAGGACCCTGGGACCATGACCCGAGCTGAAGGCAGACGCTTAACGACTGAGCCACCCAGGCGCCCCAAGATATTTCAGAATTTAATGAAAAGACTCATTTACTTTCCTTATACCTTTAGAAATATATAAATTTCATTCCTATCTCCTCTATCATCTTTCAAAACTAAGAAACTCTTCTTTCTTTGGTACATTTGTTGTCTTCATGGTATTTTCAGTTCTTTCCTTATACCATCTCTAACTGTGATTAGAATGTACCCCTTCCACAACCACTGCATCAAGGCATAGTTCTTTCTGCTCATACTTCAAGACCCAATTAAAATAGCATGTCATTCATGACAACTTCCCACTCATATTTATTCACTTGCTCTTCTGAGACCCTCGACTCTATTTTAAATAATCTCATCCTATTGTAACTATTTCCACACAGTCACTAACCTTAAGTGACTAAAACTCCAGGGACTGTTTGGTTCATCTCAGTATTTCCAGTATTGAGTATAGAGCCTGGTACAGAGTAAGTTCAGTAAATACCTCTTGACTGAATGAAAGGATAGAGATAGACAAATCCGGGAAGGAGAGCTTTTGTCGCCGAGCTTCAGTGCTGAGACTGTCGTCCCTGTACAGATACGTAGTAGGTGAAGCCCAGTAGTTGGGCTGGTATTTACTAAACTCCCACTTTCCTATTTGCTGCAGTGGAAGCATTTCAGAAGCCACCATCCTTTAATGTTGGATTAATGTCATTAAATACCTTATCTTTAATATCCCTGGGAGAATCTGACAAGACTTTATGGAGTGATAGGTTTTAAAGCATCAACAGAAGTTTTTTTTGAGTTAAGTGGGAAAGGAGCTCAGAAAAAGGTAGATTCTTATGAGTCTCTCCACAGTCCGAATTTTGGCTTGGTGTGCAAGTGCTTTCTTCTCCCACCCTCTTTCTATTCATTCACTTGTTGAACTCTGGTCATACTGAGCTACCTTTAGTACTCCAGATTTTTCTTTCCTCTGAGACTTTGTTCATGCTATTCCCTGTACTTGGAATGCTTTGTTCCACTGATTTCCTTTAACCTGGCAAATACCTGTTTGTCCTTTAGGTCTCAGCTTACATCTAGGCTTACCTCCTCTGGGATGCGTTCCCTGACCATTTGCCCCGATCCTACAGGTCTGAATTAGGTGCTCTTTCTCTGTGTTCTCACAACACCCTGAACTAATGTCCTTGTAGCACTTGTAAAACTATTGACGTTTCTTTTTAGTCTCCTATATTTTTCACTACACTTAGCATTCCTTAAGGCATTGAATCTTCTATTATTCCCAGGGCCCTGAATGATGCTTGGCACAAAATAAACCTCAGTAAACATTTTCTCAGTGAATTAATGGGTGAATGAATGAATCCCACAAGAATGCCAACTGCAAAGAAAGGTTAAAAGAACGGGTAGCTGGTATACTTTCTCTTTCCACATCCAGCATTCTCCTGGTGTGCAGCCTGCAGATGTGGAGGAAGTTGTCAAGAAGGGTGTACAGACCCTTGTGATTGGCCGAGGGATGAGTGAGGCCTTGAAGGTAGGTATTGGGGAGCACAGCATTCCTGAGGACAGTTGGTAACCTCTTGGACCTTTACCTTAGAAATATGTCCTTCTTGGGAGCTCATCTCAGTATATCATGCACCCTCATTTTGCTGAGCCACTGGATGGCTCAGGATAAAATAAGGGATGTTAGTACTCTTCCTCATCGGGGTTGGACTGTCCAGTCTCTACCTTACCCTAGGCCTGTGTTGTTTCAACTATATTTCAGAAATTCTTCACTCCTGGAATTCTCAAGCTCTATAACAATATTTGGTTCTTTAGATTTTCACAGTACTTCACACTTCTTTTTGTACTTCACATTTTTATAGAACTTTTTATTCTTTCCTTGAACACAATCAAGTTATGTGTTTTTCCCCTTTCGAAAAAAATACTTATTTTTATTGCACTTACAGAAATAATACATGCTTATTGCAAAACCGTTGATGCAGAAATGTTGAAGTAGAAAAGTGGAAGATCCCCACCCCCATCTCCACATTTGATGTTTACTGCTCCATGCAGCTGCAAATATATACTCTTAGGCGTACAGATATACATGTATACACTTAGAATCATTTTTACATAAATAGGATCACATCGTACGTATTTTCTGTAACTTCTTACTCACGTTATTACATTGTGGACAGCCCTTCACATAAGTATAGAGAGATCTACCTCATTCTCTCCTTTATATAAATGTCCTAAAATCTACTTCCCTACCGATAAAGGTGCTATTTATTTATTTTTTGTTTAACCTATTTTTTCCCATTAAAATAATTCCTTTCTATAAGGCTATTGTTATTATAAAATTGTTCAAACATAGAAAAATATAGGGCATTTAAAAAATATTTCAGAGCTCCTTCTGAGGAAGAATCTAATTAAAGTCAATTTAAAATAATATTCAGCACAAGCCAGAGTTAAAAAAAATATCCAATAATAGCTGCCACTATTGAGAATCTTTTATATAAATTAATTTACAAACATTCATTCAGTGCCTTCTATGGGTCAGACACTCTTCTAGGCACTGAGACAAGATAAAAGATAAACAAGGTTCATGACCCTCTTGGAAAATTAAATAGTAGACAATTTCAGATCGCAACAAATGCTGTGAAGACAGACTTATGAGGGGCTGCTCTAAATGGAGTAGTCAGGAAAGACCTTTCTGAGGAGACATTTGAGCTGCAGTATCCATACATTAGTTAACTTCATCCTCACACCACCCTGTGTGTATTTTTATCCCCATTTTATAGAGAAGGAAACTTCTCTATAAAATAGCTGGCCTACATGGCAAAGACTTTAGACTCAGGTTGGACTGACTCAGACATTATTCACATTTACGTGCTAGACATTTTCTGTACCTTAGCTGAATTAGTTTTCATACTAGCCCTGTGAGCTAGGTATTATTATTCCTATTTACAGCCATGGAAACAAAGGGTCAGAGAATTGAATTCACTTACCCAAGGTCACACTGCTAAGATTTAAATCCAAAACTGTCTGACTCCAAAATCCATCCTCTTCCCATTTCAATTTCACCTGAGTTTTGTGCATGCATGATGCTTCTGTCAACTTCCTAGAAGCCTTGCTGACTCCTTGGGGCTCCCTGTCAAATTTTGGACTGGTGACACGCTGGGTGATCGAGTAGTGACCGTTATCATTGTCTAATTTTGTAGAGAACCCTTGCCTCATGGCAGGAAAGGAAACCCAGGAGGGCCTTTCCCCTGACTTACTCATCTTTTCTGCTCTTCCCAGGTGCCTCCATCCACTGTGGAGTACCTCGAGAAACAAGGCATTGATGTGCGGGTCCTCCAGACAGAGCAGGCAGTGAGGGAGTATAATGCCTTGGCTGCCCAAGGCATCAGAGTGGGAGGGGTCTTCCATTCCACATGCTGATGGAGCCTTAAGGAGAATAAATCACTAAGCAACAATGCCTGTGATCATCACTCTTAGCATCTCCACACCGGCCTCCCCAAGCATTTTTCAACAGCTGTTCACGCCAGGTCCTGTGCTAGGCTTTGGGATGCATGGTAACGAAGGCCAGGTCCCTGAGGGGAACTGAAAATCAGGGGAGAAGACAGATGTATATAATACACTAAATGTTAGGCCAGAAATATGAGGAAATAAGGGCAAAAATAAAGCTTTCTGCTTTGAAGGCCAAGGAGAAGTTTCAGAACATTAAAATTACATTGCAGTTGAAGCTTTGGAATGTTTACCCATCAATTCAACCCAGTTTTATTGAGTACCTGATATGTCAGACACTGCTGTAGACTCCAGAGAAACAGCAACAAAAGTCTTAGCCTCACAAAGCTTCTAGTCTTCTTTTTTCCTAAAATTTTATTTGACAGAGGCACAGCGAGAGAGGGAACACAAGCGGGGGCATGGGAGAGGGAGAAGCAGGCTCCCCACTGAGCAGGGAGCCCGATGCAGGACCCGATCCCAGGACCCTGGGACCATGACCTTAGCCGAAGGCAGACGCTTAACGACTGAGCCACCCAGGCGCCCCACAAGGCTTATATTCCAGTGGAGAAAAGAAACAATAAATCCATAATGTAAGTAGAACCTGTTATGAAGAAAAATAAAGCAGAATAAGAAGACAAAGAATAAAGAAGGCTATTTCAGGTATGTGGTCAGGAAAGGTCTCTGTGCAGATCGCCAATGAGCAGAACCCTGAGTGAAGTGAGGGAGCACTCCAGTAACAGCAACGGGAGGAGCTTGGCCCTGATACTCTGGATTCTAGGCAAGCTGTTCTACTAGCTAAACCTGAGCCTAGCTGGACAGTTCTCCCTGAGCTGCAGATTCTCTTGCTGTCAAATGATGGGGCTAGAGTAGATGATCTGTAACCGCCATGGATAGTCTTTGTTAAATACCAGCTATCTTTTGTGAAGCCTTAGAATAGACAGAACTCTAATAAATTATAAGCATCACCTTAGTTTTCATTCCTCCCCCTCTTTAAAGAGGAGTATGGGCTTTGGTGTCAAATGACCTTGACTTTGAACTGTGGCTTTCTACCACTCGCTGGTTGGGCATTTATTTAATCTCTTAGAGCTGCAGTGTTCTCATCTGTCAGATAGGGATAATAGTACCTGGAGTTTATTTTGTAGGTATTAAATGGGGTGATTCATACAATGTCTTAGCACACTGCTTGGCATGTAGTGAGGACTCAATAAGTTGAAGCCATTGTTGTCATTATATTTTGATTAATGGGTCTGCTGTGTGTCAACTAGTTTCATGTTATGGTTTGTAACATATGGTTCGCAGCCTATTTCATAGATTTGTAGAATGCTGGAGCCCAAAGGAATTATGGACTCTATTCTCTCATTTATTCTCTTTCATGCCCATTTACTGAGTCCGCTAATTTTTTATGACTAGTTATTGCTGGGCCCTGGGAGTATGGGAATAAGTAAGTTAGAATTCCTGCCCTCAGGAGTTACGTGAGAGAGAAAACAGACAGTGATAACAGTGTGTTAACATTATAATAGTTACAAGGTCCAATGATGGCCTAAAGGATGGCCTAATCCCACCAGGATGGAAGGGAAAGTAAGGAAGACATCACGAAGACCATGACACAAGCTGAGTCTTAAGAATAAGGTGTTTGTTTATTCCCCAAACATTTGGCAACTTTTAACTAAACATTTACTAAGTCAAGTATTTATCACAACCGTAACTAATACCCCAGCCCTTGTTAAAGCCACAGCCCCAGAAAGCTGGTTTTTGCTCCGCGTGATCCTGTTACCTCCTTGGCTCAGTTGGGCATCTGACAAGGCAGCCCATCCACAGACTGAACAGCAACTTAAGATGTGGCTTGGCAAGAAAAGGTGAGCTAAGACCATTGGAATGGAAAGTGAAGGGATCTTTCCAAGTTCACCCAGCAAGGAAGTGGCAGAGCCAAGAACAGAACCTGATGCTGTGTCTTGATGTCCTTCTACTATACACCTCCTTAAAAGGCCTATCAGAGTGGGGCACCTCACTGGCTCAGTCAGTAGAGCATATGACTCTTGATCCCAGGGTTGTGAGTTCAAGCTCCACATTGGGCGTAGAGTTTACTTTAAGGAAAAAAAGGGAGGGGTTTGTGGGAGTAAGATCCTCACAGACCTGACTCCCAGCCTGGAGGTCTGGGGAAGTCCTGCTTAGTGCCCTTTTTGCAACCAGCCATTTGACAGATACAGGATCTTTCTAGATCTCAGCTCAGAAAGCTGAGGCACCTATGTAGCTAGGAGGGTATTTGATGAAATTCAGACTGTTTCTCTATTGATGCAATCGACTTTTTTTTTTTTTTAAGTGAAATGTAAAGTGAGACATCTCCAGTGGGTGTTGAACTGAGTGTGGGTGTAATCAGTGTTCCTAAGTGAGTTGTCTCCACATTAGAGAGAACTTAGTACAAACTTCTTAGAGACAGAAGTATCTGGCAGTGAGATCATTAAACTTTGTATAGAACCTGCTAATAAATAGCTCCTATTTCTGAATCTGTTCTACATGGTCATTGCTGGAAATGTACAGAACCGGAGAGAAGCTATTTTTCCACATGACACCACACTTAGTCCTATGTCTTAATCATTAAGCCCTTTGATTTGATTTGTAGGTAGCACAGCCCTCTCTGCCCACACTTAATTTCTTCTAGCTTGAGTGGTTCTAAGACAAGAATTCTACCAAGTGCTTTCTGTGCACCCTATAATTCTGTTCGCAGAAGTCAATCATGTCAAAGCCAAATATAAAGTCCTTTTGGAAACCTGCATCCCAGGGCTGGCTCCTGCAGGCATGCCGTGGGACTGCTAAGTTTGCTCTGGATTCATAGACTCATTCACTCCTGCCCTGCCTGGTACGTGCTGGTAGCTGCGCCGGGGACACCACACACGTTTCTTGCTGTGCAGGGACTCAGATTAGTTGGAAGAGACAGACGTAAACATACGGTGATGGTACTGACATTGCAACCTGCCACGAAGCTACCTAGAGAGCTGTTTTGTCTGTCTCAGAATAATTTTAACATTTATTTATCATTTATTTTTTAATTGGGTATTTTTTTACATGAAAATGCAGATTTCTGGCTCTTCTGGAAGAACCAGAAGATCTGATACCACCAGGCCCACACTTAGAAACCACTGAGCAGAGCTGAATAGCAGCTACCTTCTGACCCTGACTGAAGAGAATGGGAAGTCTCTATTACCTTCCTACAGTCCACCTGACTCCTTTTTTCCTGCCTTTCTTTAAAAAAGGTTTCCATTTCTGAACCTGCAACAAACACTTAAATAAATATGCCTCAAGAACATATAGGAGGCTGTCAGAACATGGAGGCAATGAGCCAAGCCCACCGGAGACACAAGATACATTCCAGAATGAGGCTCAGTCCTGGAGAATGAGGAGTCGTAGGAGACACTCTGAGGAACATATTCCAGGGCTCAGCAGGTCCAAAGGTCTGATGACACAAGACAGCATGGTGAGCGTTGGGCACAACTACAGGATTCTCTCTTGCCAGAGAAGTACACAGAACGTGTGGCACACGCAGAACGAGGCTGGAGACGACAGAGGCATGAAGAGCCTTCAAGAATATGACTTTAGACTTTATCCTGGAACCAGCAATGGGCCACGTCAAAGGGACTTCAGCAGGGGAATGGCATGAGCAGATCTGGGTTTTAGAAATATCACTCTGCTAGCTGTGTGAAGAATGGACTGAAGGTAGCAAGATCTGAGGCAAGATCTTTAGGAGGCTAATGCCACATTTTAGGAGAGATGATGGTAGTCTGCACTGGGATAGAAACCGAGTATGAGAAGAGGATGAGTCAAGAAACATTTAAGAAAGCAGAATCTAAAGGACCTGATGGCTATGTTTATCTGAGGGGTGCAGAAGGAGTCCAGTGTGACACACAGGTTTCTGGCTTTGACTGCCGGGCACATGGGAGACCACTTACACAGAACAACAGATCCATTAAGGAAACCATGTTGGACTAAGAATCAGGAGGCCTGGGTTCCAGCCTTGGCTTTACCATGAATTCAGTCTCATATTTCTTAGCATCTGATCATTCAGGGTCAAAGGAATTTAAAAGGTTGAGTCCAATCTCTTATAGGATACTTGAATTCCTTTGCAAGAAACTTGTCAGGGAGCTTGTTCAACCTCTGCTTAAACACATCCAACATGGACAATTTATCCCCTAATGCAGCTCAAAAAACTTACCTTGATACTAAGCCACTTGCCCCTTAGTGTGTCTCTACCTTTGGTGGAAAAAAATACTCTATTTTGGGTGTTAAGACCTAGGATAAAGTCCTGGCGTTGCCCCTTAGGGGAAAAACATTACCTCAAAACCTCAGTTTCCCCATCGATGAAATGGGGGATAACCTAGAAGGATTTTTATAGCAGGGGTACCATATCTGAAAAGGATGCAGCATAGCCTTCAATAGCTAGTGCTCATGGGGCTCGGTGGGCAGCCATGGGTCTCAATGTCTTCACGCTCCGACCCAGCCATCATCATACGGTGCTTGGGTAAGAACGGTGATAGGATTAGGCCTAGCTCCCAGCTTCATTTTATCACCAGGGTAGGCACTTTTGTCAGGGTATCTTGTTGATACACAAGAGCCCACTGATATCACATCCCTGAGATATACAAAACAAGCAAGCACACTAGAAAAGTAAGCTAGCTCCTTGAAGATCTTTCTAGCAGGGATGACGTTCTGGAGCCAGACTGCCTGGGTTCAAACCCCAGCTCTGTCGTTTACTAGTTGTGTGACTGAGGCAAAATTACTTAATTCTCTTAACTCCAACTACCTTGCTTGTCACACAAAGATAACAGTACCTACTTCATAGGGTAGCTGTGAGGATTGAATGAGTTAATTTCACAGAAAAGGCTTACAATCACTGCCGGGCACAAATCAAGGGCATTAAACCAAAAGCCAAACATGCTTGAATTCAAACTCCAGCACCACCTGAGTAATTCTATAATCTTGCTATTATTTTTATAAGCTTTCCAAGTAGCACATAGGATCGAGACTGCCTGCAGATTCAGATTCTACCAAGCATTATTTGATTAAACCCATTCAACAACACTTAAGGTATAATTATCTCTATTTTATGGCTAAGAGGAAACCCAGGCATAGAGAGCTGAAGATCTGAAGGCTTTTTCCATATACTTTCCCAGAGGTGGTAGAGCCCAGGCCTCAGGAACCGTCTTGGATTTGAATGAAGACAGGCTTTACTACTTGCTGTACAGG